TGGAGGATTTTAACAAATGTCTGTTACAGTATAGCAGATGCTTCTCAAGTAGCAGAGTCAGCTGGTGACTTTTTTTCAGATAATACATTTTGTTTCTATTAACTGTTGTATATTTAATTCCAGCGGTGTAATGTTTAAAGTGTCCTATGTATTATGTTATGCATATAATTTATTAAATATGTAATAATTTACAGTTTCAAAGTACAGTTGACCCATGAACAACACAAGGGTTTGCATTGCTGACTTCTGTACAGTTTACAATCTAAAGTATAACTTCTGACTCCCTGAAAACTTAACTACTAATAGCCTACTGTTGACCAAGAAGCCTTACCGTTAACATAAACAGTCAATTAACACGTTTTATATGTCATATTATTACATACTGTATTCTTAAAGTAAGCTAGAGAAAAGAAAATGTTATTTAAAAAATCATAAGAAAGAGAAAATATATTTACTATTAAAGCGGAAGTGGGTCATCATAAAAGTCTTCATCCTCATTGTGTTCATGTTGAATAGGCTGAGGAGGAATGTTAACGAACCCACAAGGGGGGTTCACTGTTGCTCGCTGCACAGAAAGCCAATTACTGAGACAACGAGGATTGTCAAAGCAGAAAGGATTTATTGCAGGAGCCACACCAGCTGGGAGGTGGGAGGTATGGACTGCCTCAGATCTGCCTCCCAGACCAACAAGGTCAGGGGTATTTCTGGAGGTAAAATGAATAATGCATGAAGGGAGTGAGCATCATTACATGTTTGGGATGGAGTACAGGGCACGCAAGCACAGTGAGAAATCATGCTAGTACATATATTCCATGATGAAAAAATGGTAGCTAAGTCCCTCCTAGAGTGGGGATTTTAGTGGTATGATGAGCTAGGGGTTAATACTGGTCATTGTTTCAGCCCTGTGTGCAAGAGAGATGCAGAGAATAGGCTGCTCAACAGGTCCTTGGGCATGATCTGTGGTGGGTGTTACTTATCTTGTCTTCTCTGGACAAACAGGTGGTATAAGGTTTTGTATAATGGTTACCTTGTGGCTGCAAGGAGATTCTGCTGTTTCTGGGAAAGAAACTCAAAAGGATTGGATCAGTACAAAGAAAGTTACAAAGTTCTGGTCAGTAAATGTTACTGGCCTAGGAACTTGAAACATAAGAAAACTACCAAAAAAAATATTAAAAAAAGTTTTCTTGCCTGTCTCAGGGATGGCCAAGACATGTAAGTGGACCTGAGCAGTTCAAACCTGTGTTGTGCAGAGGTCAACTGTACTTTCAAGTTTATGTCATATAGTCATCACAGCAGTCCTATTAAATACTCATTAATGCTCTCTATTTAAAGATGATAAAATAGTTAACCCCTAGTGGGCACTTTTACTGTAAGCTTTCTGTAATGGTTTGAGAGTGTATAAACTCAGCATGGAGTTCATTGTCTCTGTCCCGGACTGTCAGTGATTGATTCCAGACATTACCCAGCTACTCTACATGTAATTTAAATTCTCACAAGAATTTGTCTCAGGCAGTAGCATTGTCCTCATTTAAAGATGAGAAAACTCAAGGTCAAAAGTTGTTAGCATAGGGAGAAGTCTGGGAGGTGGTTAATAATAGCTCACACACTGGGTCAGGCCACCTGGGTTTTTATCTAAGCTCTACCACTTAAATCTCTATGACCCTGGGAAAGTTTCTTAACCTCCCTAAGTCTTGGTTTCCTAATATATTGAAAGAACAACAATGCCAGTCTCAGAACTATTATGAAAATTAAATAAGATATAATACATGGAAAGTGCTGGGTATATAGTATGTGCTCAGTATCACATACTACAAGCAATTTATGTAAGGTCACTCAGATGGTAGAAAGCAGTTCTTATAACCGTATCCCATGTCACCTTCTTACTCCATTGCTTTCTTTCTAACCAAGGCAAGCACAGTATACAGGAAAATAAGTTGTATTAATTGACATAGCTTCTAGTAATTTTAAGAAGGGAGAGGTAGTAGGTATGAGATCAAGAAAGAGAAGAAAAACTTCATGGAAGGCTAAAAGTTACATAGTCTGGATCAAGAAGCCATGACATGAAATGAGAGTTTTATAAAAAGGTGGTGTAGTGTTTTTTAGGTGACACTGGAAAGGGAATGCACCCTTCCTGGAGTCATCTTTGCACAATATTTACTTAAATCCTTTACCAACGATTAACCTTAAACATGAGAGCAACAGAAATATTTGTTTGCTTGGTTTGGGAGAACCCTCCAGTGATCATCCCTCAAAATGTACTTGTCACTTTCCCTACTTAGGTTCAGCAGTCATACATACTAAATATTGTCCTTCCAACATTTAGAATTATAATCATTGTTTAGAAAGAATTTGGTCTTTTAATTTTTTTCTCTCCTTCAAGTTCTTGTAGTACTTTATGTCCTATTCTAGTACTTAATATTTTTTACCTTCTTTTCCAGTCCTTTATTTCCATAGCTTATGTGCTCTACTTAAAGACAGGGTCTGTCTAATGTCTAATTACGTTGTCTAATACCCCCAGTATAAGCCCAAAAACAAATCATAAATCACTCTGAGCTGGTTTCTTTTATTTCTTAATCAGCTAAACAGTGGTCAAGTAGTTATCTCTTAAAGTTTATCTGTTTTTTCCTACCAGTGACTTTAGTTTAGTATCATCTTCATTAATCAAATGTTAATTTTAAGAGATTCGTGATGATAATTTAGACATTTTAAACTTGACACTGTTATTGTCTATTGTTAGGCTTATTTTGGTTGTTTCATAATGCAAGTGTTTTGGTTTTGTTGTTTTCCTTTTAAAAGCAGGCAGGTCTTACTGATACTTGGTAGAACTCTTAACACATTAACTGCCATGTGAGTTGTGTTTAACTTTGGCTAGTTTTGAGCCCGGGACCTCATGAAGCATATGTAACTCACACGTCTCTTTACCTTGGGAGCTGCAAGAGCTATTTTTCAAGTTGTATATAATTCATGAATAGAAAACAATTAAATAAATAACAAATTTTTCATTAAATTAGAAAGGATCATTTTGTTTTCGAAGTTTTTATTCTTTTTTTTTTTGAGACAGAGTCTTGCTCTGCC